GGGTTGTTCGATTCTTCTGAAAATTTCAGAGCTGATTTATCTTGACCAATTGAACAATTTTACCCCATGTCAGATTTGCTCTAAAAGCTTTAGTTTTTGAGATATAAGCCAATAAAATGCTTCGTTGGGCGCAGCTTGATACGACCGCAGAGGTCGAACCCTGAACAGTTGGGGCAAGTATGGACACAACATTCAAGCTTGATACAGCTCTGAATTTGGATTGTGATTAAATATTTGACACAGCATAGGTTTCTGACACAGAAAGAATGTGGTCTAAGAACTTCAATTTTTTTAATTTACCTATTATGGTCCAATGTCCAAAATCAAAATACATGGTTAGATTCAGCATATCAAAGAACCCCATATATTCAATTTTTGTTGAAATCAAACAAAGTTTAATTTTGGACCCCAACTTGGACAAACTTGAAAACTGGTCCCATAATCAAAAATCTAAACACATGTTTAGATTCAGCATATCAAAGTACCCCAAGAATTCAATTTTTGTTAAAATCAAACTAAGTTTAATTTTGGACCCTTTGGACCTTAATGTAGACCAATTTAAAAAACGGGACCCAAAATTAAAAATCTAAAAACACGTTTAGATTTGGCATATCAAAGAACCCCAATAATTCAATTTTTGATGAAATCAAACAAAGTTTAATTTTGGACCCTTTTGACCACAATATGAACCAATCTGATAGCGGGCCTACAAAATAAAAAATCTAAATACATGGTAAGATTCAGCATATCAAAGAACCCCATATATTCAATTTTTGTTGAAATCAAACAAAGTTTAATTTTGGACCCCAATTTGGACCAACTTGAAAACTGGGCCAAAAATCAAAAATCTAAATACATGTTTAGATTCAGCATATCAAAGAACCCCATATATTCAATTTTTGTTGAAATCAAACAAAGTTTAATTATGGACCCCAACTTGGACCAACTTGAAAACTGGTCCCATAATCAAAAATCTAAACACATGTTTAGATTCAGCATATCAAAGAACCCCAAAAATTCAATTTTTGTTAAAATCAAACAAAGTTTAATTTTGGACCCTTTGGACCTTAATGTAGACCAATTTAAAAAACGGGACCCAAAATTAAAAATCTAAATACACGGTTAGATTTGGCATATCAAAGAACCCCAATAATTAAATTTTTGATGAAATCAAACAAAGTTTAATTTGGACCCTTTTGACCTCAATATGAACCAGAACCCCATATATTCAATTTTTGTTGAAATCAAACAAAGTTTAATTTTGGACCCCAATTTGGACCAACTTGAAAACTGGGCCAAAAATCTAAAATCAAAATACATGGTTAGATTCAGCATATCAAAGAACCCCATATATTCAATTTTTGTTGAAATCAAACAAAGTTTAATTTTGGACCCCAACTTGGACCAACTTGTAAACTGGGCCCATAATCAAAAATCTAAACACATGTTTAGATTCAGCATATCAAAGAACCCCAAGAATTCAATTTTTGTTAAAATCAAACTAAGTTTAATTTTGGACCCTTTGGACCTTAATGTAGACCAATTTAAAAAACGGGACCCAAAATTAAAAAATCTAAATACACGGTTAGATGTGGCATATCAAAGAACCCCAATAATTCAATTTTTGATGAAATCAAACAAAGTTTAATTTTGGACCCTTTTGACCTCAATATGAACCAATTTGATAGCGGGTCCACAAATAAAAAATCTAAATACATGGTTAGATTCAGCATATCAAAGAACCCCAAGAATTCAATTTTTGATGAAATCAAACAAAGTTTAATTTTGGACCCTTTTGACCTCAATGTGGACAAAGTTGATAACGGGGCCCAAAAATCAAAAATCTAAATACATGGTTAGATTCAGCATATCAAAGAACCCCATATATTCAATTTTTGTTGAAATCAAACAAAGTTTAATTTTGGACCCCGATTTGGACCAACTTGAAAACTGGGCCCATAGTCAAGAATCTAAATACACGGTTAGATTCGGCATATCAAAGAACCCCAATAATTCAATTTTTGTTAAAATCAAACTAAGTTTAATTTTGGACCCTTTTGACCTTAATGTAGACCAATTTAAAAACGGGGCCCAAAATCCAAAAACTTAATACACGGTTAGATTCAGCATATTAAAGAACCCCAAGAATTCAAGAATAAAACCCCATTGAAATTGATCAAGAAATAAGCAATTTATACGAAGTATCTTCTTTTGCACAATACTGTGCAATTGAATATTTCTTGCTATTGTGCAATACTGTACAATTGACAATTTCTTGCTATTGCGCAATATTGTGCTATTGGATATTTCTTGCTATTGCGCAATACTGTGCAATTGAAGATTTCTTGCTATTGCGCAATACTGTGCAATTGAAGATTTCTTGCAATTGTGCAATACTGTGCAATTGAAAATTTCTTGCTATTGCACAATACTTATTATATAATAATTTACACATCCTGTTTGGTGTGTAACTCCTACCATATCATTATTATTTGCTTTTAAATATTAATCAGAAATAACCAACTTAAAATGGAAAATTTTAAAAGAAAAAAAAAAGGAAAAAAAGAAAAAAAAAGAAAAAAAAAAATCCCCCCCCCAAAATTTTTTGAACCCCCTTATGATTCATCACCCCCAAACTCAATTCCAGCCTTTCCTTTGTGGTATGGTACCTTGCAGTACAATTTCAGAGAGATCCATACACTTGAACACAAGTTATTGTCTGGAAACTAGAATAAAATGCTTCGCTGGGCGCAGCTTGATACGACCGCAGAGAACCCTGAACAGTTGGGGCAAGTATGGACACAACATTCAAGCTTGATACAGCTCTGAATTTGGATTGTGATTAAATATTTGACACAGCATAGGTTTCTGACACAGAAAGAATGTGGTCTCAGAACTTCAATTTTTTTAATTTACCTATAATGGTCCAATGTCCAAAATCAAAATACATGGTTAGATTCAGCATATCAAAGAACCCCATATATTCAATTTTTGTTGAAATCAAACAAAGTTTGATTTTGGACCCCAACTTGGACAAACTTGAAAACTGGTCCCATAATCAAAAATTTAAACACATGTTTAGATTCAGCATATCAAAGTACCCCAGGAAATCAATTTTTGTTAAAATCAAACTAAGTTTAATTTTGGACCCTTTGGACCTTAATGTAGACCAATTTAAAAAACGGGACCCAAAATTAAAAATCTAAAAACACAGTTAGATTTGGCATATCAAAGAACCCCAATAATTCAATTTTTGATGAAATCAAACAAAGTTTAATTTTGGACCCTTTTGACCTCAATATGAACCAATTTGATAGCGGGCCCACAAATAAAAAATCTAAATACAGGGTAAGATTCAGCATATCAAAGAACCCCATATATTCAATTTTTGTTGAAATCAAACAAAGTTTAATTTTGGACCCTAACTTGGACCAACTTTAAAACTGGGCCAAAAATCTAAAATCTAAATACATGTTTAGATTCAGAATATCAAAGAACCCCATATATTCAATTTTTGTTGAAATCAAACAAAGTTTTATTTTGGACCCCAACTTGGACCAACTTGTAAACTGGGCCCATAATCAAAAATCTAAACACATGTTTAGATTCAGCATATCAAAGAACCCCAAGAATTCAATTTTTGTTAAAATCAAACTAAGTTTAATTTTGGACCCTTTGGACCTTAATGTAGACCAATTTAAAAAACGGGACCCAAAATTAAAAATCTAAATACACGGTTAGATTTGGCATATCAAAGAACCCCAATAATTCAATTTTTGATGAAATCAAACAAAGTTTAATTTTGGACCTTTTTGACCTCAATATGAACCAATTTGATAGCGGGGCCAACAAATAAAAAATTCTAAATACATGGTTAGATTCAGCATATCAAAGAACCTCATATATTCAATTTTTGTTGAAATCAAACAAATTTTAATTTTGGACCCCAATTTGGACAAACTTGAAAACTGGGCCAAAAATCAAAAATCTAAATACATGTTTAGATTCAGCATATCAAAGAACCCCATATATTCAATTTTTGTTAAAATCAAACAAAGTTTAATTTTGTACCCTTTGGACCTTAATGTAGACCAATTTGAAAACTGGACCCATAATTAAAAATCTAAATACACGGTTAGATTCAGCATAACAAATAAATAAATGTGGTCAAAGATTTTACAAATCTAATGCGCCATACTGTGCAATTAAAGATTACTTCTTGAAATTTTTCAATATTTGAAATTTGAAAAAAAAATAATATTTGAAGAATAATTCTTTTTAATTTCTGAAATCTGAAATGAGAAAAAATTGACCCCCCACAATTTCTTTTTACCCCCCCCCCCCCCCCCCCCCCCCCATCCCCCCTCTTTCCCCCAAAAAATTCTTTCCCTCAAGATATGGTCATAATCTCAATTCAAATTTCCAATGGAATTTGCAGCCATAATTACCCATTTAAATTTACCATAGTGCTAACTTAATCTATTTTATAATAGAATTTAAAATATAGTGTCAAATCTTTCATATGGATTTTTTTGTAAAAAAAAAAGATGCAACATTTGCAGATATTTTTACTGGTCTTCCTTTATAAATATGCATTTCTTTAAACATAATTTAAAAGCAGTGTAAGGGAAGTAACCAAAACGTTGTATTTGGATTACCTCCCTTACACTGTTTTAAATTATCTTAATTGTTCATTAACCATTACTTTATACATAATTTAAAAGCAGTGTAAGGGAGATAATTTCAATGATGTATTTGATTTATCTCCCTTACACTGCTTTAAATTATGTTTTGTACTAAAGTATTTGTCCATTAACCAGGACAACCTTGTTTTTCCCCCTTTTTTGCCCCTAATTCTTAAACGGTTTGAGCCATAACCCCCCAAAGCAAATCCTAACCATCCCTTTGTGGTATGGAAACTTGTAGTATAATTTCAGAGAGATCCATACACTGTTCCACAGTTATTGTCTGGAAACTAGAAAATGCTTATTTTTGGCCCCTTTTGGCCCCTAATTCCTTAACTGTTGGTACCATAACCCCAAAATCAATCCCCACCTTCCTTTTGTGGTATTGAACCTTATGGTAAAATTTCACAGAGATCCATTCACTTAAACTAAAGTTAGAGTGCGAAAACTAATGCGTATTCGGACGACGACGCTGGACGACGACGACGACGCCGGACGACGACGACGACAACGACGACGACGCCAACGTCATACCAATATACGACCACAAAAATTTTTTTGCGGTCGTATAAAAATGCTTATTTTTGGCCCCTTTTTGGCCCCCAATTCCTAAACTTTTCAGGCAATTACCCCCAAACTCAATTCCAGCTTTCCCTTTGTGATATGGAACCTTGTAGTACAATTTCAGAAATATCCAAACACTTACACACAAGTTATTGTCATGAAACTAGAAAAATGCTTGTTTTTTGCCCCTTTTTTGGCCCCTAATTCCTAAAATTTTGAGGCAATTACCCCCAAAATCAATTACAGCCTTCCCTTTGTGATATGGAACCTTGTGGTACAATGTCAGAGAGATCCATACACTTACACACAAGTTATTGTCTGGAATTACAAAAATGCTTATTTTTGGCCCCTTTTTGGCCCCTAATTCCTTAACTGTTGGTACCATAACCCCCAAAATCAATCCCAACCTTCCTTTCGTGGTATTGAACCTTATGGTAAAATTTCATGGAGATCCATTCACTTAAACTAAAGTTAGAGTGCGAAAACCAATGTGTCTTCGGACGACGCCGGACGACGCCAGACGACGACGACGACGACGACGACGACGCCAACGTCATACCAATATACGACCAAAAAATTTTCAATTTTTGCGGTCGTATAAAAACTGCATTTGACCCCTATGTTCTATTTTTAGCCATGGAGGCCATGTCTGTCGATGGATCAAAACTTCGGATACAATTTATAAACTAAGGAACATTTAGTTAAAGTTTGAAGGTATTTGGCCCAGTAGTTTCAGAGGAGAAGATTTTTGAAATAGTTTACGACAACAGACGATGACAGACAACAACAGACAACAACAGACGATGACGACAGATTACGACAGACTACGACGACAGACGACGGACGACAACGGACGTCAAGTGATGTCATAAGCTCACATGGGGCCCTTCAGGCCCTGGTGAGCTAAAAAGGAGTAAAATCAATCTTTCAAGGGCAATACCTCGTATAAGAGGTCAATAGACTTCTTCATATTACAGACTTTTTGCTCTGAAATATATAATTTTTCAACATAACTTATGATACTGGTGATATAAGCGGGGAAAATTAACTGTTTTACGATGTATTTTTTTTTTGTATAGAAAGCATAAAACAGTTGTTTTTCTTAACTGTTTTCCGATGTATTTTTTTTTTTTTTGCACAGAAAACATAAAATAGTTGTTTTTCACCAAATTGCACATATTGTAAGTTTAATTTTACAACTTTTAGCTGCTCTTTCTTGATGGAGTACCAGAATGTCCTACCACAGAGTCGGTAACCTGTCGAAAATTTATATACTCCAGAGTCAAAAGTCAGTAATAAGAAAATAGTCCTTTGACAATTGTCCATGTGGACTAATTTACATTCTGTTGAACATTTAAACTATCGAAAGATTTTCTCTATCAACTATTATTTCCTGATAAAAATTCCACTGGTTATTACACTAAACGGGTAAAATTATTCAGTAATGTATAACTGATAACTATATGGAAATGGATAACAGCTAGCTAGCTGGTAATGGATAACTTTCAGACACTTAATGAATAGTGTGCCATTATCAACTAGATATCATTGAGATGGAAGCCATCTCTGTGGGCCCCGCTGTAAATAATGTGTGGTAAAAAATTTGTATCTTTATCATTGGACATGGGGTTGTCAACTGAAACCAAAGTTTTTGACCTTGACCTTTGACCTAGGAAGTTGTACATAAATTATGACACACCCTCTGGTGTTGGTTTATATACATGTCAAGTATAAACTTTGAAATCATAATGGTTCTCAAGATATAGAGCGGACAGGATCTTTACCATAGTACATGGGGTTGTCAACTAAAACCAGTTTTTGACCTTGACCTTTGACCTAGGAAGTTGTACATAAATTATGACACACCCTCTGGTGTTGGTTTATATACATGTCAAGTATAAACTCTGAAATCATAACGGTTCTCAAGATATGGAGCGGACACGATCTTTACCATAGGACATGGGGTTGTCAACTAAAACCAGTTTTTGACCTTGACCTTTGACCTAGGAAGTTGAACATACATTATGACACACCCTCTGGTGTTGGTTAATATACATGTTAAGTATAAACTTTGAAATCATAACAGTTCTCTAGATATAGAGCGGACACAATTTGTTACGGACGGACAGACGGAGAGATGGACGGACAGACGGACGGACATACTGGTCACTATAGGGCGTCCGCCATTCAGCGGGGCCCTAATCAATCATTCTGCCTCTGAAGAAGGTCTGTGAAGGACCAAAACTGGTCAGGCTATGAAGCTTCACCAAAAGCTGTTGATTATGTGTTTGGACATTATTTACTATTTATTGATTATATTTCCTTCCTTGGGAATTTGCTTGAGTTATCTGAGATGATTCTCCTATATTATATACTGTCAGAATCTGTTGCAGTAGCCCTATATTTTCTTATTTAGGAATTTGCTTGAGTTATTTGTGATGATTCTTTTTTACTGAATCACTGGAGTAACTTGAGATCAGAGTGCCAAAGACGATTCTACTATTGTCCTTATATTACTTAGGAATAAGCTGAAGTAATCTGAGATAATTCATTTTTTTAATTATAATTCATACCTTGGAAATTTGCTGAAGTTATCCGATTGATTCTCGTCTATACTTTTGAATCCTTTGGAGTAATCATATATTTCCTACCTTGGGAATTTTTTTGAGTTATCTGAGATGAATCTCCTACGTATATCATACCCTTTTGGAATCTGTTGGAGTAACCCAATATTTTCTTACTTGGGAATTCCCTGGAGTAATCTGAGATGCTTCACCTAAATTTCCTACCTTGAGAATCTGGTGGAGTAATCTGAGATGGCTCTCCCATATTTCTTTTCCTTTGTTTTTCATCCTCCCATAAGGCTGCAAGGCCAGGATTAATACCAATTTTGTCTGAAATCCCAGAATCAAGTAATTATTGACGACATAACACTGCAGAAAATTAGAAATTAATTTGAGGAGATATTTTTTGTAACATGGATTGCAGAATTTCAACGTTTATCATGCTGAAATGCTTTCAGAAAATGCATCATTTTCCTTTAATTGCAAAGATATATCTTGCTGCTGATGCATAATGAGGACAGTAAAGCTAACATAGTTGAGAACAGAACAGGGTTATAATGATTTATATTTACTTTATGAAGTTTGGTCAAATCATTGTATATATTGTTTAAATTCTCAGACAGGTTATTTGTATGAAAATGCATTCTGTCCTCACAAATCTAAAAGTCTCATCATTTTAAAGCCTTTGTTATTCAATTACAACAGATAACTCTAACTAATTTAATACTTGGTTATCTTCTATAAATTTTGAAAGCCTGATGGAAGCCAAAGGATTTGAAATATAACTAAAGGCTCTAAAGACTTTGTGGCTTGTATCTCTCATGTGGATCTATATGCATTTTCAACAATTCACACACACTCTTCAACATTCAAGACTATAATAAAACTTGTGACTAAGATAGCTTTTTTTATCTTGAATTGCTTATCATTTTTTCTGTTTCTCCTTATTTACAATTTATCGACCAAAATACAAATAAACAGGTAAAATTCATCATTCAAGGGCAAAACTAATATAACAATTGGACTTACAGGTCTTATAAAATATTTTGCTGTGAGGACCTTATTGTAGATCTAGTCTTGCTTTTTATTTTTGCTAGTAAAGATTAACTTTATTATAGTTTTCAAATAAGTCAATAATTTTTGTGTTTACTGTTTCTCTTCATCATCTATAGATTTTACCCATAACACGTAATATAAAATGCTCTACAGGGCACAGCTTGATATGACCGCAGAGTCCGACCCTGATCAGTTGGGGCAAGTATGGACACAACATTCAAGCTTGATACAGATCTGAATTTGGATTGTGATTACATATTTGACACAGCTTAGGTTGCTGACACAAAATGAATGTGGTCAAATAACTGAAAAATTTGAAATTGAACTTAGACCTATTATGGTCCAATATCCAAAATCTAAATACAAGGTTAGATTCAGCATATGGTTTCCAGACAATAGAATTTAATTTATATATTTTTTAATGGACAATATTAGCTATAAGTTATCAAAATGCTCTATAAAGGAATTCAGTTTTAGCTGTAATTAGTAGGAAACCTTTTATAAAATTAATTCATTTTTTTGTGTTTGAATCAGGGCTTCCAAAACGGTCATATATTCCGGACTTGACCCAAACTTTCATAAAAAGACCGGCTGCTCTCAGCCTCAAACGGTCAAATAGAATTGGTGTGCCACATTTTGTTATTCAAGGCATTTTCATGAAACGGTCATTTCAATTTTTACCAACTATCGATCGATAAAAATGTCCGTTTGGGGCTTTGGGCATGTCCGTTTGGGCATTTTAGTTTATAATTGTGGCAATCTATTTCACAAAGATATTTCGGTCATAATTGGGTTTAATAAAACAGAAGCAGCATATTTCAGATACTTTGAAGTGTCTCAGTTAGTCTAATCCTCTGGGTACATAAATGTACGGCTTGGTCTTTAGCTTGTGTACATCAATAAAAAGTAGAAAAAACACGTTTTCTTTTATTTAAATAACAACAAGCTGTCAAACAATTATCCCTTCAATAAGTTATATTGAAGCCATAAATCATTCACTGATTACAGGTTTGTTACCTTTGATGAGGTGTCCTTAGCTTGTCTTTATCAATAGAATTAATGATGCATAACAATGTACATAAAGGTAATCAGGTAAACGAGGTCAAACATGTAAGCGTGTATGGAACAACATCCTATTTAATTACGCTTTATAGATATAATTTTAAATGAGCATTCAGTTTAAAAAAGTATCCTGATATTTAAAAGTTATTCTTCAAATAAGGATATTTGTAAATGAATAAGTATGATGTATATTATTTTATTTAACACTGTACATCGTGTTAAATACTGGGGTACTCCTGAGACTACTATAACACAGTATAGTAGTCTCAGGGTACTCTCAAGGGGAAAATTTGTCAAAAACATAAACTTAAAAATAACTTTGTAAAGCCTGGTTCGACAAATTTTCGAAAGTCAGCCGTTGTAGAGCATGCTAATAGCAATGACCACATCCAAGCTCTTAAATTAGAGACAGCTTCCAAAAGTAATCCAATTGTATCAGTATTTGAGAAAGTTCATGAAAAGACTGACAACGGCGCAATGTGCACCTTGTTCCGTAATGTTTACTTTATTGCTAAAGAAAACTTACCAATGGACAAATTTCAGTCAATAAATGATTTAATTAAGTTAAATGGTGCCGTGATCACTTCTAAATTATATCAAGAGAACAATGCCTCCTCCGAATTTATTCAGACAATTTCCGATGTTATAGAGAAAGAGGTGATGTCCGACGTAAAGTTAAGTCCCGCCGTGGGAATTATGATCGACGAGTCAACTGATCTGGCTACGCAAAAACATTTAATTTTGTACTTATCATTGTACAAAGAAAAATGTTATCACTGTTCAGTAGATTTTACACGGTTTAAAACAATATCCTTCATTGGGCCTCCTCAATGTTATCTATAAATACCGCATCAGTTGTAAAAGTCACGTGGTACACAAAAAGAAAAGTATCACGTGTATTGATGATCAAGTTGTACTGAAATTAAAGCCAACATCAACAGTTTCAAATAAGATGGCCTTAATTTACAAAGTGTTAAGTACTCACAGAGAGAAGATAGATTATATAAACAGAAAAAAAAACATGAGAACAGTCAGGTACTGAAGCTGATTGATGCAATGATGGTTACGTATCGATACTGTATTACGATACACAGAAAAATGACACAATACCGAGGATAATATTTTATTTATTTTTAGAATGAAGAAAACAAAACAGTTATAAATAATTTTATTGCATATAACACTACTAATTATTTAGACACATATATCAATTTATGCATCCTCTCAGTTACATTTAAGTATCCAGCTGATCATTGACCGTCAAAAATATTTCTTTTAAAAATGTCCGGCTGTCGTCAGGAAATTTTGGAAGCCCTGGTTTGAATATTGCTACAAATGGGGTACAGATGGATGTGCATGCATGTTAGTTGAGGTTCTTTTCTAATCAGGTAATGATATAAGTTTTTAAACATATTGTGACTTTGGATGATGGGAGAGGGGAGAAAATTTATTTTTCTTGACATTGTTAAACTGTTAGCATTTAGAAATTAATATTGATCCAACCATCCTTTTGTGGTATGGAACCGTGTGGTACAATTTCATACAAATCTATACACTTATACTCAAGTTATAGTCTGGAAACCATAAAAATGTTTGCTTTTGGGCCCTTTTTGGCCCAAAATTCAAAACCGTTTGGGCCATAACCCCCAAATCAATCCCAAACTTCCTTTTTGTGGTATTAAACTTGTGGTACAATTTCATAAAGATTCTAAAACCTATACTCATGTTATTGTCTGGAAACCAAATATCTTTGGACGACGACGATAACGACAACATTGCCATACCATTATACTTCCAAATATTTTTGTGGTCGTATAAATGCTGAAATATCTTGCGGGCTTTACTAAATATTGATTTTTTGTTGAAAGTATTAAAGGTTTTACTTCAAGTATCACATAAACTTAACATTTTTAAAGATCCAGGACAATGAGGTCGAGGTCAGATAAATCCTGTCAGACAGACATGTACATCTTACAATTATTCCATTCAACAAATATAGCTGAACTATTGCTTATATTACTTGAAAACCAGACCAAAACACATAAACTTAACATTGACCAATGACTGTGAAAATGAGGTCAAGGTCAGATCTGCCAGACAGATATTTACACCTTACAATAATTCCATACACCAAATATATTTGACCTATTGCTTATATTACTTAATAAACAGCTGCGCCATGAGCGCATGATATGCCTGTCGTCTTGTGTGTGAATTTTTATGCAATAAGCATAAATAGTTTCTGACATAAGGTGTGACATGCGAAAACCCCCTTTTTTTTTACAAAAAACTCAATATCTCTAAAATAAAATTTTGAATCAAAACCAAAAAGTATACAGATCTTTAGATTAATATAACTAAGAAGTGTGTAAAATTTTAAGCAATAATCATAAATCGTTTTTCAGATACGGCGCAACATGTGAAAAACACCTCCCCCTTTTTTTTACAAAATACTCAATAACTCAAAAATAAAATTTTTAATTATCACCAAAAAGTATACAGATCTTAAGGTTAATATAACTAAGAAGTGTGTAAAGTTTTAAGCAATAATCATAAACTGTTTTTGAGATACGGCGCGACATGTGAAAAAACCCTCCCCCTTTTTTAACAAAATACTCAATATCTCTAAAATAAAATTTCGAATCATCACCAAAAAGTATACAGATCTTAACATTAATATAACTAAGAAGTGTGTAAAGTTTTAAGCAATAATCATAAATTGTTTTTGAGATACAGCGCGACATGTGAAAAAAAACACACACCTGTTTTAGTTACTAAGTCCCGTATCTCAAAAAGTTTTAATCTAATTTTCACCAAAAAGTATACAGATCGTTTGACAATCATAAGAAACAACTATGTTAAGTTTCATGAAATTTGGATAAGTCATTCTCAAGTTACGGTGCTACATGTTTACACCGGACAGACAGACGGACAGACAGACGGACAGACAGACGGACACCTGACATTTGTATACCATAATACGTCCCGTCAAAAACTGACGGGCGTTTAAAAACCAGACCAAAACATGTTGGAAAGAACTCATATACCAATTATAGTTATCTTATACACATAAGTGAAAAATTCACATGACAAAAAAACTATAATTGTTTTTTTCAAGCAGTCACTGAACCACAAAATGAGCTCAAGGACAACGGACATATGACAGACGGAAACTTTTTAACATATGGTATCTGTATACAAGGTATGAAGCATCCAGGTCTTCTACCATCTGAAATATTAAGCTTTATTCAAATACTTTACGCTGCTGCTGCCAGATAGTTATTCCTATGTCTCGCAACATTTGTCGTAGCTCGACATAAAAATGAAGCCTACGAAAGAAAAATAATTGTTTTCATCTTTAGTATATATATTTCATAGAGGTCTATCAAGTTGTAATGATAAACATTAAAGTTAAACTGAGTTCGACAGTTTTTTCGGTCAAAGCTTTATAAAGATGATTTTTGAAACCTATTAAAACAAATAGATTTTGAAAAGACAACTTTTCTCCAGTTTATTGTTTGCCTCAACCTGTTATAGCAAAAACAAGTAACAAATCTAGAACTTATAAATTTACAAGTTATACATAAATCCCTTTCATTGTTATCTAAAACGCCACTTTACTTACACAAGCATAGCATGAAAATTGGGAAATATAAACAAGGTATGACGTACCGACAGGAATATTTTTGACAATTATTGTCTGCTTTTTTCTACAATTTATCTATATGGTATAACATTTTCATCTTTAATCTTTGACCTTAATATTAAATGTTTGCTAAATAGTCCCAAGATGATAGGTAAAGGGGTTTCCCAAGCTGAAAATCATAATCACATTTTTTTAACAAGAAGAATAACTCAGATTATCACTAGCCCTTAGTTTCTAAGTGATTACTTTGTTTTCTATTATTGGGAAAGTTCCGGGAAAACAATAAAAAGCAGCTGACATATAAAAATAAACTGCTTCGCTGAGCGCAGCTGGATACGCCCGCAGAGGTCCAACCCTGAACAGTTGGGGCAAAAATGGACACAATATTCAAGCTTGATACAGGTCTGAATTTGGATTGTATTAAATATTTGACATATTATAGGTTTCTGAATAAATGTAGTCAAAGAACTTGAAATTGGTTATATGAATTGAATTTATATTCAATTAAAGATTGCTGTTGTGCAATACACTGTGTTGTTGCGCAATACTTAGTAAATCTGTTGTCAGACTATAAACAATTAAAGTTCAATTCATTCTCAATGTCATATTAGAAATTTATGAAAATATAAAGGGAGCTTTCATCAATAGATATAAACAATTCACCAAAGTTTCATGAGAATTGCTGACAGCATTTTTGAGTTATTGTCCGAAAACTGGAAAATCCCCCCTTTTTTAATGAATAAAACCCCATAACTCAGAAATGTAAAATGTAAAATTTATAAAATTCTAAACGGAGCTTACATCAATAGATATAAACAATTCACCAAAGTTTCAAAAGAACTGCTGAAAGCATTCTTGATTTTTTGTCCGAAAACTGGAAAATCCCTCTTTTTTATGAAAAAAACCCTGTAACTCGGAAACGTAAAATCTAAAATATATTAAAATCAAAAGGGAGCTCATGTCAATAGATATAAACAATTCACCACAATTTCTTGCAAGTTGGTGAAAGCATTCTTGAGTTATTGTCCGAAAACTGGAAAATCCCACTTTTTTTAATGAATAAAACCCCATAACTCAGAAACGTAAAATCTAAAATTTATAAAAAATGAAAGGGAGCTCACATCAATAGATATAAACAATTCACCAAAGTTTTATGCAAATTGGTTAAAGCGTTTTTGAGTTAATGTCCAACATGTTGACGACGGACGGACAGACGGACAATGGTATACCATAATACGTCCCGTAAACGGGCTTATAATCATTTCATAGTATTTTTTGTTTTTTTTGTTTTATGAAAATCAATAATCATAAGGTTGATGTACAGTAGAAACACAATTTTAGGATCTTATCTAGTCTGTTACAAGTAATAAAACGTTGAAATTTTGTTTTTTAATATCATATTGAATTTTGATATTCAAACCTTGTGGTTTTATTAAGGGTCCTGACCATGTTATGTCAATTAAAAATCAAATGAAATGAGTTATTTCAAACTAACCATCCACTTCCTGTCGATTTAAAATATCTGGAGCCACTACATCACATTCTAGTTCACATGTACTCTGCCTAGTGATTGATTCATCAAGTAACAATTCCCTACAAAAGATAACAGTGGACATGGTTAAATGTCTCAGCTGCTTAACTGATTATGACTGATTAATATGTTTCAAGCTGATGTGTTTTAATTCTTTGTGAGTCATATAAGAAGTATCATTAAAACTAAATAAAACAAAATAAATTTACAAAGCAAAAAATTAGCTGTCAAAATGAAAGCAAACTGGGTTTTCTGTATTTTGAAAGGCACTTTTCTCCTGCCATTTTCTATGCCTATTTTCATACCAATCAAGGACCAAAACTCCTGAACGGGAATGAAAATTGTCAATATCAAAATTGACCACCATTTTGTCATCAGTAACAGCATATTAAAATATCAAGAGCATTGGCTGAAGTCTTCAAAAGTAGGTCCACAGAAACGACATAAAGTGCAATTTTCCGATCTAAACCATAACTCCTGGCTTGTAAAAGTGACCTTCAATTTTTCATCAGTATAACATATTAAAAATTTTAAAAGCATTGGTTAAGTGGTTCATAAGTTATTGCACAATATTGAAACAATATAAAGTGCCACTTTCCTACACATCGAGGACCATAGCTCCATAACGGTTAAAATGAAAATCGTCAACATTAAATTTTACCTCAATTTTGTCATCAGTAACTACATATTACAATTGTAAAAACATTGGTTGAACTGTTCATAAGTTGTTGCAAACAAACTGATTGAAGCCTTCCTACCACCCATCTACTGTACTTCCTTAATTTCATATATGTTTTTTTTCCTTCGGAAAACACAGTCTATAATTCAAACACCTTACCAGGAGGTTAAGATCAAAAGTAGGTTACCTACCCCAGGAAATATTACTTATGGTGTACATTTTGCTAGACAGATTTCACCTTACAAGGACTTAGGCAACCTACTGAAATTATTACAAAAAACAAAAATTCTATTCATTTTTTCATTTAATAATTCAACCATGAGAAAGAGACCACAGACAATGAACATGCCAACAGCTTATGGACATAAAAGCAATGTAAAGTTCAGCTTTCCTTCTTCCTGAAATGTTATAGAGCAACAAGGCTCTCAAGAGCCTGCGTTGCTCACCTGTATCTACTGTGGTTTTGGTAATCATGTTTAACAAGGTTAAAATCATAATAAATAGTATTAGATACCCTAATAATGATTGAGGCCAAGTTGGTTTAATTTGGCCCAGTAGTTAAATTAAAAGCAGAAGATTTTTGAAAAAAGTTTACAAAAATTACCAAAAAATTGCAGAAAATGACTTTAAAGGACAATAACTCCAATAAGATGTCAATTGACAATTTTGGTCATGTTTGACTTATTTGTAGATCTTACTTTGCTGAACATTATTGCTGTTTACAGTTTATCTCTATCTAGAATAAAATTCAAAATAACCAAAAACTGCAAAATTTCCTTAAAATTACCAATTCAGGACAGCAACCCAACAATGGGTTGTCTGATTTATCAGAAAATTTAATGGGCAGATAGATCTAAACCTGATCAACATTTTTAACCCAGTCAGATTTGCTCTTAATGCTTTAGTTTCAGAGATATAAGCCAAAAACTGTATTTTACCCCTATGTTCTATTTTTAGCTATGTCGGCCATGTTAGTTGGAAGGATGGGTCATCGAACATATGTTTTAAACAAGATACCCTACTGATGATTGTGGCCAAGTTTGGTAAAATTTGTCTCAGTAGTTTCAGAGGAGAAGATTTTTGTAAAAGATAACAAAAACTTACGAAAAAAATGTTAAAAATTGACTTTAAAGGACAATAACTCCTTAAGGGGTCAATTGACAATTTTGGTCATGTTGACTTATTTGTAGATCTTACATTGCTGATCATTATTGATGTTTACAGTTTATCTCTTTTTATAATAATATTCAAGATAATAACAAATAAAATGCTTCGCAGAGTGCAGCCTGATACGACCGCAGAGGTCGAACCTTGAACAGTTGGGGCAAGTTTGGACACAATATTCAGGCTTGATACTGTCTGAATTTGGATTGTGATCAAATTTTTGACATAATATAGGTTTCTGACACAAAGTAAATGTGGTCAAAGAGCTTAAAAATTTGAAATGGGACATTCATTTTACCTAGAATGGTCTGATATCCAAAATCTAACAACATTGTTAGATTCAGCATATAAAAAAACACCAAAAATTTAATTTTAGTTGAAATCAATCAAAAGTTTAATTTTGGACCCTTCAAACCTTAATATGGACTAATTTGAAAACAGGGCCCAAAATAAAAAATCTAAATGCACAATAAGATTCAGCATATCATACAGCCGCAATCATTCAGTTTTTGATGAAATCAAACAAAGTTTAATTTTGGACCCTTTTGACCTCAATGTAGACCAATCTAAAAATGGGGCCCAATATCCAAAAAAGTAATACTAGGTAAGAACCCCCAAAAATTAAAGACTTTAAATTAATCCCATTGAAATTGGTTAAAAGATTTGTATTTATTTTCAATTGAAGATTTCTTGCTATTGCACAAAGCTGTGCAATTGAAGATTTCTTCCTATTGCGCAATACTGTGCAATTGAAGATTTCTTGCTATTGCGCAATACTGTGTAATTGAAGATTTCTTGCTATTGCACAATACTGTGCTATTGCGCAATACTGTGTTGTTGCGCAATACTGTGCAATTAAAGATTTCTTGCTATTGCGCAATACTGTGCAATTGAAGATTTCTTGCTATTGCCCAATATTGTGCTATTGTACAATACTGTGAAATTGCGCAATACTGTGCAATTGAAGATTTCTTGCTATTGCGCAATACTGTGCAATTGAAGATTTCTTGCTATTGCGCAATACTGTGCAATTGAAGATTACAAAAACTTTGAAGAAAAAAAATATGAACCCCAAAAAATTGGAAAAAAAAATCCCCCCCCCCAGTACAATTTTAGAGAGATCCATACACTTACATACAAGTTATTGTCTGGAAACTAGAAAAAATGCAATGAAGTTTATTAAACTAAAGTTATTAGCAAATTTCCAATGGAATTTATTAATAATAAAGTTTTTGGCAAATTTCCAATATACATAATTTAAAAGCAGTTTAGGTGAGATAAACAAAAACGCTTCATCAGCAACATTTTATATTGGCAAATTTCCAATGAAGTTCATTAAACTAAAGTTATTGGCAAATTTCCAATGGAATTTATTAATAATAAAGTTTTTGGCAAATTCCCAATATACATAACTTAAAAGCAGTTTAGGTGAGATATTCAAATGAGTTTCAATTACCAACCTTACACTGCCTTTAAAATCATGTTTTGTACTTAAGTAATTGTCCATTAACCTGGAAACCCTTTTCCCCCCCTTTTTTGCACCTTATTCCTTAACGGTTTGAGCCATAACTCCCAAAGACAATTCTTACCATCCCTTTGTGGTATTCCAATATCCAAAATCTAAATACATGGTTAGATTCAGCATATCAAAGAACCCCAAGAATTCAATTTTTGATGAAATCAAATAAAGTTCAATTTTGGACCCTTTAAACCTCAATGTGGACCAATTTGATAACCGGGCCCAAATATCAAAAATCTAAATACATGGTAAGATTCAGCATATCGAAGAACCCCATATATTCAATTTTTGTTGAAATCAAACAAAGTTTAATTTTGGACCCCGATTTGGACCAACTTGAATACTGGGCCCATAATCAAAAAACTAAGTTCATGTTTAGATTCAGCATATCAAAGAACCCCAAGAATTCAATTTTTGTTAAAATCAAACTAAATTTAATTTTTGACCCTTTGGACCTTAATGTAGACCAATTTGAAAACGGGACCAAAAATAAAGAATCTAAATACACGGTTAGATTAGGCAATTACCCCCAAAATCAATCCCAGCCTTCCCTTTGTGGTATGGTACCTTGCAGTACAATTTCAGAGAGATCCATACACTTGAACACAAGTTATTGCCTGGAAACTAGAAAAATGCTTATTTTTGCACCCTTTTTGGCCCCTTATTCCTTAACGTTTTGGGCAATTAACCCCAAACTCAATTCCAGCTTTCCCTTTGTGATATGGAACCTTGTAGTACAATTTCAGAAAGATCCATACACTTACACACAAGTTATTGTCATGAAACTAGAAAAATGCTTGTTTTTTGCCCCTTTTTTGGCCCCTAATTCCTAATATTTTGAGGCAATTACCCCCAAAATCAATCCCAGCATTCCCTGTGTGATATGGAACCTTGTGGTACAATTTCAGAGAGATCCATACACTTGAACACAAGTTATTGTCTGGAAACTAGAAAAATGCTTATTTTTGGCCCCTTTTTGGCCCCTTATTCCTAAACATTTTGGGCAATTACCTCCAAACTCAATTCCAGCTTTCCCTTTGTGATATGGAACCTTGTAGTACAATTTCAGAAAGATCCATACACTTACACACAAGTTATTGTCATGAAACTAGAAAAATGCTTGTTTTTTGCCCCTTTTTTGGCCCCTAATTCCCAATATTTTAAGGCAATTACCCCCAAAATCAGTCCCAGCATTCCCTGTGTGATATGGAACCTTGTGGTACAATGTCAGAGAGATTCATACACTAACACACAAGTTATGTCTGGAAGTTACAAAAATGCTTATTTTTGGCCCCTTTTTGGCCCCTAATTCCTTAACTGTTGGTACCATAACCCCCAAAATCAATCCCCACCTTCCTTTTGTGGTATTGAACCTGATGGTAAAATTTCATGGAGATCCATTCACTTAAACTAAAGTTAGAGTGCGAAAATCAATGTGTCTTCGAACGACGACGACGCCAACGTCATACCAGTATACGACCAAAAATTTTTTAATTTTTGCGGTCGTATAAAAATATTTATACAGAAAGAGTTAATTAAACAAAACGATTTCTGTCCACCAAGGGAATATTCATCAAAATTGTGAAAGATTAAACTGAAACTAAATGTATCATTTATAGAAATACGATATAATGTTGCTTGTACAATATGCGAGTCAAAATTTATTTTCCAAATTAAACATAGAATAATACTTATATTAT